GCAGACCATCGCCCTCGAGCAGGAATACGAGTCGACCGAGTGGAAGGAGCTGTGGGCCACGCCCGGCAACCGCCACCGTCTCATCATCCTCGTGTCTATCGGTTTCTTCTCGCAGTGGTCCGGCAACGGCATCGTCTCCTACTTCCTGCCCCAGGTCCTGAAGCTCATCGGCATCACCGACAGCACCACCCAGCTCGAGATCAACGGCTACCTGTCTATCGTCCAGCTCGTCTCCGCCGTGGGCATCTGCTTCTTTGTCGACAAGCTCGGCCGTCGCCCGCTCTTCCTGACCTCGACCATCGGCATGCTCACCACGTTCATCGTCACGACGATCGCCCTGGCCCGCTACGACGCCGACCCGAGCTCCGCCTCCGCCAACACGGTGATTGTGTTCATCTTCATCTACTACGTCATGTACAACCTCGGTTTCTGCGGCCTGCTGGTGTCCTACTCGACCGAGATCCTGCCCTACAGGATCCGCGCCAAGGGCATCACCGTCATGTTCTTCTGCGTCGACCTGTCGCTCTGGTTCAACCAGTACGTCAACCCCATCGCGCTGCTCGACATCAAGTGGAAGTACTACATTGTCTACTGCTGCTGGCTGGCTTTCGAGCTCCTCGTGGTGTGGAAGTACTACATCGAGACCAAGAACACCGCCCTCGAGGAGATTGTCAAGTTCTTCGACGGCGAGGGCGCCATCGTCGGTGGCGATGCGGCGACCGCCAAGGCCCGCCACCTCGCTGGCGAGGACGACGCTACTGCCGAGCAGGACGAGAAGACTGCCGTTACTAATGATACCTCCAACGAGGTTCGTGTTTAAAAACTGCAGTCGGTTTTTTTTTTTTACATGGATGGATGATTTATTACAAGGTTAACAATGCCCTGATATGAAATGTCGTATGGAAGAGAGTTGCATGTAGCTAGCTACCTTACGCGTATACCCGAAATCTGACGAGAATTCTAATGCCCTAAACTGAGCCTATTGTTTGTGACAATCCACCAACACGAAATGTTTGCGTAGAAGTGTATATACGTCTTTTACCAGTAATAGCAGAGCTCGGACTACATCTTCCAGAAGGATTCGCAGAAGCTTTGCCCTGGACCACTACAACTCGAGCTGCGTCACAAAACTCTGACTTGATTGGACGCGATGGAGGCGCGCGAAGACGATCCGGATCTCTCAACCCGATCCTTCGTCTGCCTACGTAGCCTGCTACCTGCTACCTGCTACCTGCTACCTGCTACCTGCTACCTGCTACCTGCCAGTGTCTGCCCAGCACTAGAACCCGCTCATCCGACTCCTACGATAGAACTGCATGCATACTGTGGTACAGACCAAAACATAGGTGAATCGCTGTCAGGAACTTGTGCAAGAGGCCGTGTGTTCCGCCTCCATCACCGCTTAATACCTGCTATGGGCGGGATCCTTTTGGCCCCTCTCGTTCGCCTACCTAACGTAAACGACCAACAACAAGCCCCACATTTTGAGCGCCCTCATCATTCTGATGAGCTCCTGTTTCTGCCTATGTCCTTGCACACCATCACACACGCCATCACAACACCAAAGCTTGACTATGGATTGTTGGGTGCTGAGTGTCCCCCCCCCCCCCCCGGGGGGCCATTGCTCACTCTGATCATTAATATGGTTGGTGTTGGTGGTTTGGGTATGATGGGGGGGGGTAGGAGTGGGGTGGGCTACCACCGTGACCTTACTGGGGTTCTCATGCAATGCACAAACCGGGCGTCCGGGAGGACGGCTAGCAAAAGATTGTCCAATTGGGTTTTACTGGATAAATGAAGCAACCCGGCCCTTGCCCGCGTTGCATTCAGTTATATAGTAGTTCATTCGGGCAGGGAAATTCTATCTTGAGTGTGAAGGAACTGAACCACCTGTCAAGCGAGGAACGAAAGGTAAAGGTTTTTGATCCTTCCGCTCTACACGGTGCGTACATGCGGTATTAGCATAACTTTATATTTCTGCCGGCTTAGTATTACAAAAAATGCCATGCATACACTCAGGTATTATGTACATACATCCAACCGACACACAATCAACACAATCTGTGTGATGGTGGAATGGATTGGGAGGGAAGTGTTTGCGGCAATAAACCTGTGGTAAGTTAAGTCAGGTAAGCTTCGCCCATCATTGGCATAATTACTTCGATTCCTACCGTTTGCTACCCTTCGGTAAGTTCAATTGAGAGGTCTTGGTAATAAGCCACAGACAAGAGAAGAAGTGCAAAAGTACCGTAAAAGCGGTAACTACGTACCGAGAGCCACTACTCGATCTCAACGTGCCCACTGCCCGTGGCTAGTGTGGGTGGTATCCTAGTGTAAGCGTCACTGGCGTATTCCCTTCGCATTTAACCGGTCCCGAACGCCCCCGGGTGCGCAAGTAAAACGCCCCCTTGAAGGTTGGGTCGGGTCGAGTAAAGTGGCAGATCCGCGTCCATGGAGCCGTGCCCCCCGACTGCATGGTCTAAAGTGCCTACCTACTTTATCCATTGCCGCCTTTTCATCTAATACTACCTAATTACTGTCAATGGTACAGACTCAAGTAAAGGCATCAACAACAAAGCCGTGAGAAAGAGAAACGCCACATAATTAATGGCACTTGAGCGAGGCCAGAACAGTGAAGGTTGGCTTCCTTGCCTCCCGGTAACTTTTCTCCTGGACTTGGCTGTGTTTTCCCCAGCTGAACGCAGCCTACATAGTTAGGCATTACAAGGCGTAAGGTTCTTGTACTCCGTATGTACAGGTGGATCAAGGTCGTTTACACGGTTGCTCTCGCTTCGCTAAGTCACAATATCGGCTTTCCGCGTCTCCACCTCCACTCCCCCCGCAACGTGGATCTACTCAGCTACTGTAAGAGTTAATCAGACCAGCGCGGAGATAGTTCTCAGCTGTCTGTGAACGAGGGCAGAATTGCTGCACGATGTCACGGTAGGCAGGTTCCAAGGCGGCAGAGTGGCCCTTACTCGCGTTTAAGCGCTTCCAAACAACAGCCAGCCTCTTGTCTCAAAGGGGAGTAATACGCGCGTCTTCGGTCCCGGGATACAATCGGCACCTTGTCGGCGGCACAGCCGATCTACTATATGCACGTCGCTTGATCAATGTGAAGCTAATCTATCACGACGAGGGCAGCTACCAACAGATGAAAAAAAACACATTAAGCGTGCCGTAATATGACCACTTTGTAGATTTGTCCGGGCAGGTGGGGCCCTAAGAAGCAGGTGGTCATATATTGGTAGCTGCACTCAGGATCATCCGGTGCGGCTGGGTTTTCAAGACACAGTGACAGAATTCAATGGGGCCTGGAGTTTCAGGCTGCAGTTGCTCTTTCTCGGCTGCTTGGAGTGGCACCATTAATATGTGTATTCATCTGACCCTGACAAATCACTGCATGCAGTATTCTATATGGAGTGGCTAACGGGATGTCAGTCTGCACGTTTAAACGATCATCACTTCATGGTAGTTTACACAGAGTGAAGGTTACCAAATACCCGGTTCCACAACTTGAAGCGTTTGGAGAGCGAGACAATATGGAAGAGAGCAAACAACACCCTTTACTACTCATGCACACAACCAGAGATGAAGCAACAAGTCAGAGCTATCGCCACAACGTTCTCCACAGGTGATATCTCGTAGCAAATAACTCCGAACGAATGCTCTTCATTTCGGCCACCCCGTATTTGAACCGCAGTATTCCTTCAACGACGTTTTCATCACTTGATGTATAAGCACATGAGTTACCCTCCAGCTCAGACCTTCCTTGGGAGCTGAGTTACGTCCTGAAACTCAAACAAGCACATCTGTACCGAAAGTGATCTGCCTTTGAATCTTCCTCAGATCGGAGGGAGATATAGCATTTTTAAATCCCCGTAAATTCAGCCATACTAGAACTATCATGATGTTAGGCTCCTACGAAACAAGGGAACGTTTGTGAAGAAGCCAACCAGGTTTGTCAGTGTTATGCGGCACTTCTTAGATAGGTATGCATGCTTTGCTGGGTAAATGCCTCCCCGTCTATGGAACTCCATGAACCAAACCCTATTACACTCCGATATATCAACAAAAAAGCAAAAGTTTCAGTTTTAAAAGCAACGCAACCCAGAAGCCGTTTTCTTCACCACTCTATCCACTCATTATAATCGTATTATCGCGTTTAAAAACGGACAAGAAGAGAAAACACTCTTCCGCCCGTCGTTAAATACATCATCGTGCGTTTGTTACTCAGAAACTATTTATTATGCTAGGACTATGCCTATGCCTCTTTCTCCCTAAACCCAGCCCCGCCGCTGATATAACCCCTGCTACACGATCCTCGCCTCTCACATACGACCACAGGCGCCGGAGAACTCGGGATCCCGTCCGCTCTCCCATAGAATAAATAAGCCGGCGACCGCCAGATCAGTAGTCGGGTCGGTTGACGACGAGCGAATGAATCCCTGGTGTTGTATGTAAATGTTTTTTTTTTTTTCTATCTATCTAGCCAATAAATACACCGTACTGTGTGTGTGTGTCAGGGATCCGGTCCGCTTCCACTCGATAATTACAGCATGTTCCCCCCCCCCGGGCCCCCCCCGGACAGGGTAAATGCTCTAGATCTAGCCTTGCGCTTATAATAAACCCCCTTTTGCCTTTTCCTCGTAACTTGTTAAGAGATGCTGCTGGATTTTGCCTCATCTCCTCTGCTCTGCTCCTCATTTGTCTCTTTCTACTTCTTCTACTCGGGGCTGTATTGTCAGCGACTGACTACTTACTTTAGCGTCTTCACTAGTACATATGCCTTTCTAGTCGTTTTGAGTTCTTTCCTTCTTTTCCCTTGCTTTTTACATCCTTCTTATCGTAATGAATTTCTTAGCTAGCCCCATAATATATATATCTACAACCACGGTACTAAGAGAGGTGAGGTCCTGCCGGGAATCGAACATAGCTGGGTACCTACACAGAGAGAGAGAGAGAGAGAGACCCCTAAGAAGCACATGAAAAAAAAAAATCGATCGAGCTGGGACTCGAACCCAGAACCTTTACCAGCTGGGAATGGGAATAACCACCGAATTATTCTCCAATGAGAGAGGAAATCTGCTGTCAAACTCCACCGGAAAGTAACGCGCTACCATTGCGCCACCCGACCCAATGAAACAACAAAGTCTTTTTACCTCCTTGAGAACCCGTTGTCGGAAAAGGTTTAGACCGGGTTCAAAACTCGGCAGAAAGAAAGGTGAAGAGTTAATAATAATATGTGACTCGGAAACTTGAGAGAATAAAACCAGTGACTTTATACGTAAGTAAAAGAAATGGAGGAAAAGAAAAGGCGAAGTAATTAAACGGGATTGGTTGCAAGCTGGTAAGATGTCCGTTCCCCAGTTAATGTTTTACATAGGTCGGTACCGCAAATCTGTACTGTTCCCTACCCTAACTTAGCTTTTTTATGAATCAGTCATGTGCCTGTTGTCCATGCGCAGATTAACAATCGCTAACTTCCTGCGGCCCTGCGGTGATGTGAGCGGCGCATCATGCTCGCTAGACACAATACACTAATCGCAGACCAGTCAGGCAGTCAGAAGCAAAGCAATCAAGAGGATATATGTAATGAAGAAACCATAAGTCTCATTGTTGCTAAAACATCATCAAGTACAGAAAGAAAACTCCATCCCCGAATCCATGAATAACATAAGTACGTAAACTGCCAAAAAGCAAACCCCGCTGAAACTCCATCCCCTGTTCCCCATTCCATTCTATCATAAAACCCCCCCGAATCATCCTAATGTAATGTACAATCCAAAGTTTAAACAACCACGCAGTTAGTTAAGAGATCATGATGATCATGCCAAGAAACTAGCATTAACACCTCTCCGATCCCTCTTTAACGGTGAAAACGCCGGTGCGCCGGCCGTGGTAAAGACGCTCTTGACTCCCTTTGCCATGGCCACCTTCCCAGCCCCACCACCAGCCTTGGGGGGCCTCTTCTTGCCAGCCACAACAACAGCCACAGGCGGCGCAACAACTTCCGCCTCGTCATCTTCGTCAAACAACGTGGATTTGTTTTTCGTGCCCAGCAGCTTCCTCTTCTTCTTGATCGGCTTTGGCTCTACCTCTTTCGCCTCCTTCACTTCAACAACATTTTTCTCTGTGACCTCAACTGGCCGATTTTCTTGCCCGTCGCCGCCTTCCTCTTCCACCACCTTTTCCAGAGTCGGCTCTGCACCGGCGCGAGGAGCAGCAGCAGCAGCAGCAGCAGCAGCAGCAGCAGCCGGCTTCGTCTTCAAATTTGCCTTTGACGGCGAAGCTGGTGATAATGCTGAAGGAGCTTCCTTTGGCGCCGCTGTTGCTGCGTTGGCTGCTGCTGCCGCCTTTGGAGGTCGACCGCGTGGTTTTTTCTCTTGCAGCTTCACCACCTTAGATACAGCCTTCGGTTGTGCTGCTACTGCCTCCTTCTCCTCGGTAACTGTGGCAGTTGTGGTAGTAGTGGTAACCTCACGGTCGGTAGCCACAGCAGTGGTACCGGTGGTAGTAGTCTCTGCACCTTGGAACTGCAACGTCCGAGTGACCGTCACATCCTCCCCTGAAGCTGTCTTTGCAGCAGCTGGGTTCGGAGATGACGCCACTGCTGCGTCCAGGTTGATGGTCTTGTTGAGGAACGGAGTGATGGAGAAATTAGACTTCTCGCCCACGATGGACGGGTCAAATCCCCTCTTCTTAAGAGGACGCTTTGGCCGGTCGTCATCGTTGCCATTGGGCGTCTGAACCACAATCTCCTCCATGTTCATCTCTGCCGCCTGTCGTTTCCCGGTCTTTTTGGCGATGGGGGCTGTCTTTGCGGCAGCAGCCTTCTTTGTTGGTACTGTTGTCGTTGAGGTGATGGCTGGGATTGTTACTGTGTGTTCCTTGGCCTTTTGCAACTCGGCTTGTGACTGCTTGAGCTCGTCCCGCGTCTCACGCAGCTTGGTCTTCAGCTTCTCGAGCCGTTCATCAGAGGCTTGCTGCCGGGCCTCCACATCAGCCAGAGCCTGTGCCTGTTGCTGCCTGAGCTGGTCTTTCTCCTTCCTCTCGTTCTCCAGCGTCTGTTCGACATTGGCGAGTTGCTCCCGAAGCTGCGTGAGCTCCTCTGCTGTCTCGGCCGAGTTGTCGTCTTGAACCTTGGCCTTGGCCCGCTTCTCAGTCGCTAGAGCTTCCTTTGCCTCTGCGAGTTGCTGCCGGAGCTGCTCCAGTTCGTCGTTCAACTCGCATGCCTTAATCTCTTCGGCCTTAGTAATTTTTAGGACTTGTTCTTTCTCAGCTGCCAGACTCCTCTGCGCTTCTACGAGCCGTTCCCGAAGTCCCTGGAGCTTTTCCTCGACCTCGGTGTTTTTGTCCTCTTGGCCTCGTTGTGCTTGCTGAACAGCCTTCTTCTCCTTTGCAAGCTGCTTCTCCAACTCGTGAACTTGTTTCCGCAGCTCTTCCTCCTCTTCGTTGTTTTGGTCCTGCTTCTGTGCTGCCTTTTGTGCGGCCCGTTTCTCGTTGGCAAGCTCGACCTCCAGCGTGTTAAGCTGGCGTTCCAGCGCCAGCTTTTCGGCTAGAACATCTTTGTGATTTGACAGTTGGGATCGGAGGTGTTCGATTTCGGGCTTGAGAACCGCTACTTCCCGGGAAAGGGCAAGCTTTTCGGAAAGCATCTTCGAAGAATCTTGCGTCACGCTACTTAGCGATGTCAATTCCTCCTACACCATTTGTTAGTCGCGGACGATCTAGATGAGCCCTAGGTGTGGACGGGGCAAGCGCACCTTGAGGTTTGAGATTTCACGCGCTTGCGCCTGCATCAGCTTCTCCTGCCGGCGGAATTGCTGCTGCGCGCTCTCGAGCTGGTGCCGGATATCCTCGTTCTGGTTCTGGAGCGCCTTTATCTGCGCGCCCTTGTGCGCAAGCTGGTCTTTGAGCGAGCCATTCTCGTCGCGGAGCACCATGCTGCGCAGCTTCATCCTCCGCCCGTCCTCTTCCTTGACCACAAGCTCGGTCTGATGTGTCGCTTGTTGATATTTTAGGTCCAGTGTGTGCGTCATTTCGGTCCTCTAGTTCATAGCCAGGTGTCAGTCGTTGTTCGTGCACAATGATAGAATTTCATGGGGCATCATACCTGTTCAGAGTCCATGTTGACACACCGGGACGCGCTTTTCAACGCCATACACGGAGAAGACGCGTAGTAGAAAGGGGGAAATGGCCCTTAAATAATGAAAAAACAAGAAGTTACATATAAATGCTAAACAGACGCGGATTCACAATTGCACTTGCAATTGAGGCCGATGAAGTCAGTATGTCGAGCTGAGAAGCGGCTGTGAAAGCAGAGCAACCAAGCGCCTTCCCGGATTTGCAAAAGTAAACAGTCTGCCGTAAGGGGCTTAGCTGCGCTTCCCCCACCATTTCTTGGCCCGTGCGCTTCAGCCCATCGGTCCCCCAAACGGCCCGCTTTCTCGAATCGGAGGCCACGCAAGTCGAAGCTGTCCATTGTGGATGAGGACACATTTGACGTAGCTTCGACCGCAGCTCCTCGCCAAGCCTTCCAATTGCCAGCGCGACGAAGAACAAGAGAGAGGCCTAACCAAGAGCAATTGAGCAATTGGTTATTCCAGCGCCTGAGCTCTACATTCTTTTTGGCTTTCGTTTCTTCACTGTTTCTTTTTGCCAAACTTCAAGATGCGCTGGCTGCCTGCTTTCCTGTCCGTTTCCCTTCTCGCAGTTGGGTCGCTCGCTGCGAAGAAGTCGTCCGAGGAGCGATTCAAGGACTTCCACACCAAGTCCCTCTCTTCTTCACCAGTCAAGCTCGTCGATTCATCGTACAAGGAACTGACAAGCACACCGCGCGATTACACAGTTGCCGTTCTCCTGACGGCGTTGGAAGCTCGGTTCGGATGCCAGCTGTGCAGGGAGTTCCAGCCAGAATGGGATCTGCTATCTCGCAGTTGGACGAAGGGCGACAAGGCTGGCGAGTCGCGCATGATCTTTGGAACACTGGACTTTGCTGATGGAAGAGACACGTTTATGAGCGTACGCATACACGGTTCTACTTCAAGTACGATTAGTGCTAACAGCGAAACAGCTTGGTCTCCAAACAGCTCCCGTCCTCATGTTCTTCCCCCCTACCACCGGCCCGCACGCCGCATCCTCGCCCGACCCCATCCGATATGACTTCACCAACGGCCCCCAGATCGCTGAGCAAGTCCACTCGTGGCTCGCTCGCCACATGCCCGGCCGCCCGCACCCGCCCGTCAAGCGGCCGATCAACTGGATGAGATGGATCACGTCCGTCGTCATTGTGTCGGGAAGCTTGACTGCCGCCTACGTTGCCTGGCCCTACGTGCTCCCCATTATCCAGAACCGCAACATCTGGGCCGCCATTAGCTTGATCGCCATTCTGCTGTTCACCAGCGGCCATATGTTCAACCACATTAGGAAGGTGCCCTATGTTGCCGGTGACGGACACGGTGGCATCAGCTACTTTGCTGGTGGCTTCCAGAACCAGTACGGCATGGAGACTCAGATCGTGGCTGCGATGTGTAAGTTTTTGGTCCTATGTCTATCCGTGCATGATTATGCAAGGATGCTAACATGTTATTGCAGACGGCGTCTTGTCATTCGCCGTGATATCCCTGGCCGTCAAGGTGCCCAGAATCGCCGACCCGAACGCTCAAAGAGTTGCTGTCCTCGCTTGGGGCGGTGTTATGTTTGTCATGTACAGCTTCCTTCTCAGCGTTTTCCGGATCAAGAACGGTGGCTACCCCTTCTCGCTGCCGCCTTTCATGTAAGTTGGGTGTAGCGGGCATACGAAGAGTCCCCATCGTTCCTTCCGTCGTCCCCCAGCTTCAGGCAGGACGACACATAAGTAGAAAAATGCGAACTGGCTGGTAAGGAGCTGCAATCTGCCCTCCATGTACTGTATATATAGATCTTATGGCGTATCTAGAGCAATGGCAAAAGTGCTTGACTTATGAAGAACAAGCCATTTCACGTCAGACATGAAGCACGTAGGAAGTGAGCATTGTGTGATTCCGACTTGGGGTTGACTCCAGTAAGACTCTAGTGAACTAACTACATAGGTACTGATAGGGAGAACTGGACGAAAACTGGGACCACTCTAAAAAATTGTAAAAGATTAAGACA